TACCTGGAGACTCTGTCATGGCACCACCGATTCAATTAAGCCACCAGGCAACCCAATTCTGCGTCGTATTCACAGATTTCGCCTCACATGCCCCAGAGTTGCTTCAACAATCCTCAGGACCGAAAGGAATGAAATCCCAACGTCTGCTACCTCCCTCCCCCCCTTCGACACAAATTCCACTTTGCTGCAAGTACCGACGTGCACATCGCCCACTCGCTTTCTTTGGGATCGACATGTAGTACGTTGGGAGAATTTAATTCGATCCATTAAATGTACGGCTTTGTGTGAATTTGATACGTCTTTCAACCCTCCACAAACTTTCCACGAATTCTACATGTTAGAAGACAGTGCTACCTTCTTGGACGGTGAAAACTCGCAGGCGATCCTTCTGCAGGGAAATGATGCCTCCACTGACCCAAGCAGCACATTCCTCGGTTATCCATTAGGCGATGCCTTTCGACTTTTCAATTTATGCTTACTCGTTCCCGGTCTTGCTTTTCAAATTTAATTACTAAAACGCACTCAAATGATACCAACAAGCTTTCATGAACAGGTAAATATCTGCTTTCTAAAACTACTGGGTATAACCATCGACAACGTAAGCTTAATTACATCGGGAGAGAGTGACTACATGAGTCTATTTTGAGTGGAAAGTCAATGCCATTTACTGCAGATACCGAGAGGAAAGTTAAGATGGTAAAGCGACACCGATGATAGGCTTTGCATCCACAAACCAGAAAGAAGATCCTTTCTAACAGTGGGAGAAGAGAACGTATTTGCAAGAAGTAGAGACATCAGAAGCAGTATTTACTATATCGAGCGCAGGAAGAGGCAAATCTGCATGCGCAAATATGAAATCGTGAGGGCAATAAGCGTGAAAATAACAAAATTAGCTCCGGAAGTCTGCGTACTACTACTTAATAAGGAAGTCCGCGGCCAATGAAATATCCCAATCCTTAGACGACAGTGCTGCCCTGGAATCTTGCTAAAATCAAGGAAGAGCATCGTCAAATTAGGGCGCAGGACCGTAAAATATGGTACAATTACAATACATAATCGTAAAATACAATTGTGAATACACTTACGGAAGCAGCAGGTAAAGATTGTGGGTAATATATAAAGCATTTGGACGATGTTGAGAGGCAAATATTTTACTAATCAGAAACTTGTGATCCAAATGATGCGATCACAATCAGTTCGGTTGTTTTTCATTACAAATTACTTGTGATACCCAATCAGCAAGAACAGGATATATTCAAATTAAACAAGTTTGAAATCGCATTTAATTAATGCTTATTTTTATTTTAAAAAAAGAACCTTGATTTATTCAATACATTTGCCAGATTTCTGGTTGTTTCCCGTCACCGTTTTTTGCACAATGAAACTAGTGGCTTATTTGACCATACACGTTTCATTGTCTTCTCGCAGTTATTTAACAATCGACGTTCTTTTCAACCCACTGGCCTTTAAATCCTTTCACCCAGAACCAATGTCCTAGATTGCCTGATTAGTTTATCGAAGTTAACAGTGCAGCGCGTCAAGACGACTGCGGTCAACAGAGTATATTTTATTACAACGCCGTGAGTTCACCTATCTTCCTTCATGAGCGCTTCCCCAGACATGTTCTAAGAGAATGAACCCTTTAATCAGTCTCCGCAAACTCCCAAACAACCACCTTCCAAAAACAGTCTCAACTTTTAAGGTCTGCCATTAAACCGTGTTTATTTAGTAAAATATCGCAGGACCTAGAAGTTGTTGCAACTAATTTTAATCATCAGAAATGCGTAAGGACGAACAAACAGAACACGAGTCATTGAAGATAGACCCTAAATTTGGACGTAATACTATGACTCATTAAAGGTATGAGAATAACGACTATTCCAACAAAGAATATGAAAGAGGACGGTACCGTTTTGTTAATTGGCGAAGACTATTAACATATTAGAAGCCTATTAGATGAGTTAAGACTTTGCAGTTACTCTAAAAGTGTGATCTGTAGGGCAGTAACGGGTTATTCGGAACAAGGCTGTGTTGAAACAAAGAATTGGCAAATATCTACACGGTCTGGTATTCACATGAAAGCAACAGATAAGACTCAGCACATTGACAATGAATATATATCTATGTCTAAAGGAAAGTATGATTATAATCAACTTGATAACTTTGAAGACAAGGAGGCAGGAAAGTGGAAATTTACTACAAGAGACCTTATATTGACGGAGCATGGTGATCGTATTTTGAGAGTGTAGGTCCACACTCTACGTGGCTGGAAACCCTGTTATCACCTGATCTATGCAGATACCAAAGATCACCAAAGATTAAGCTTTGTATAATGCAGTTAGAAGGCAAATGTTCTTGAGATTCTTTGCATTACTACTTGTTGCATAGTAACGATAAGCAAACGCAAAGTGTTTCGGAAGATGCACATGATTTGGATACTCAGAGCTCTTTTATTCAACACGCAACACATCGCCTTTAGCTAGCCATCAATCTTGAATTCATGCGATCAAATAAATTCGAGACGTGTTCTGTTGAAGAAAATGGTTGAAAATTAACAATAGACGAAGAAGAGAACGTGCCTCGGAATATGATGGCCATTAAGGACTTAAACGACATAACCTATTGTGATTTCCTTTTACAACTTCGACATTCTGTATGCCCGGACGGGTTCAAATACCACGAAAAATGAATGAATTACGCGTTTCATTCAAATACGACGAATACGCATAAGAACGTTATGTAAATAGTAAACAAGTATGAAGGTTGGCCTGAAGCGGTCTGATAATTGCACAGCTTCGATTTAATGCTGCTTGGGTCGATTCAAGAAGGACCAACTCAGCGTTACGGTTATAATTTAATCAATGGTCGTTTATGGGATTGAGGTAGTCCGTGGTATAAAATCAGGCTTTAGAATGAGAAATTGTTGAACACGTGCGGACATAGTACAGAGCCCTAGATAAAGCGCTTGGAAATTTCAACCAATTACGAAGTTATCTTATTTCTCTGTGAGTGTAGCTTGATCGTCAAGAAATTGTTGTTTTTAAAAATAGACCTGGATTTTAAAGCCCAAAGATCCGACATATCAAGATAAGGGCGTGTCAAGGGTGGAGTCGTTTGCGCTGTGATATTAAAAGTGTGTACTTATGGCAAAATTATCCTCAAAGACTGTAGATGGAAGCACAATTTGTGAGGGCCAGAAGGTAGAGAACTAAAGAGAAGAGACGCACGAGGACGATTTTGTTTACTGACGAACTAGCTAGTGCAAAGAACAAGGGACGTAGTGAACATTACCGGAAATCAATAAATATTGTGTCTGTCACTGATTGATGACGTTAAAGTGTGCAGCCAACACTCAGTCGTTATCAGTGTCAGGTTAAGTAAAAATTTCGGCATAAGTTTCCATTCAAAAAACTGAAACCGATGACTCAAAATAGAACAGTGATGAGTGAAGCGATTCCAAAGGCTTTGTTAATCACAGAACCTCCTAACATTCTGTCACCAAGGTTGTTTATTCGAGAAACGCTGGCGTTTCGTTAATTTGAGTAACGCTCTAGTGGCCTTGTGAAATTCGGTACTTATCATCACTAAATACAACTGATATCGCATGTCACTGAATTATTTTACATTGATCTATTTTAATGAAATTTGACTGGTTAAGATGGACACTAGAAGATGTTTCAAAAGTATAACTAGGACAAAATAATACGAGTAAATAAAATATAAAATCAAATCATGTGTAGTTGTTCGACTACAATCCCTCCTAAAAGATACAATATTTTTGGGCCAATAAGATAGTTCTAGATAGTGACAAAAGTTGAGGGCTCTTAAAATTAAAGATATATAGTTAGTCTTGTCCTTTGAACCAACAACCTGTTTAATGTGGCTGAATAAACGTATGGACTTTATACGAAATTGCCTGACAAAGGCGTCAAAACTAAACAAACGCATAAGTTCAACTAAAGCCTAGGGTTATAGAAAAGTGATCTTAAATCGAAGGTATTGACAACATTACATTTTTCTGTTGCGTCAAGCTCCAGCCATAGAAAAAAAATGTAGAATGAAAAGTAAATAAGTGGTATGATAAAGGTAAGAAATGAACGATTACCTCAGAAAAACCCATCAACATAATTTCCTTTATCTTGGTCTCGCAATCAATTTGCCTCGAAGGCCCGTTAGCGTAAACATAAGCCCAGTGTTTTGCTGTTATGTTGAAAGCGTTTCGGTTTGATTTGAACTGCCTGGCAACTACAGCATCTTGTGGATCATCTGGCTCAGGACAAGCAAGCAGAGACTGGATGGATAGAAGCATGGTGCGAAGTGACATCGCGGCTGCCCTATAATAAAGCGTGGGATTATTATTGGTAATTAAATTATTTATCTGCCTAGGATACTACAACTGGTCGTAGAAGATGCAAGTTTCTATAAGCAAGACGACAACTTAGGAAAATAAAGCATGCGAAGTATGGTAATGAGCACTGTTTTCGATAAATGTCAAGAATATTAGAAAACGATTCAAGTTACTCACTTCCCATACACTAATTGCGTGTTTATTTTATATAATCCTAGATTTCGACTGCTATAAAGGATAATTGTCATGCATGAAAATCGATGAAGGAAATAAGAGGTTTGCCAAACGTAAGAATTCGAAGGTATTGTGTGTGCTGGACTATCAAGCAAGTACTTTAAAATCACAGTTGAATAATACACAATGAAGGGACTTACCACTGATCCTTTAGTATATCTAGGCAAATGACACCAGTAGCACTGCTGATGTTAGGATGCCAAATTTTCGTCAAGAACTTAACCTACGGACTTATATTATAAAGCTTAAAGAAACCTTCGGTGGGAAGAATGGATACGTGTCTGGTATAATAATCTCCAGTGTGAACTTCGCTCCAGCATATGGCGTGTCTGGGGGACCAATAATGACGCCCCGTAATTTCATCATATTATCAGAGTCTGCGTAAATTTCAATAGGGTTGTTGACATCCTAAAACAGAATTACGAGAAATCAATCTTACACACGCAGCCGTTTGCAACTCTAAAAGTTCTTTTTTAACTCGATTCAGGGCAATGCTTGAGGAAGCCATGTGGGACCGGCACAGGAGGACGGAAGCCAACCCCAATGAGTTACCAAAATAGCGCACAGACACAGATGTTTGATTGGTTCATTCAAAGGGTCGCACTTTTTTAAAAACCCGTTAAGTGCTTATAACAAGTTTAATGATTTTTAAACTCGATCTGGAAATATTCCCTTACTGATATGACAAAAATGACCTTAATATTCTATTTCAAAAAGCATTTATTGGTAGCCTTTTGTTTTGGATTGATAATACTTCAAAGAAACATTTGGACCACCTAATTTTGAATATGACGAAGTTACAAAATCAGTATGTAACACCATTTAAAACGAGTTTTTTTCCATATTTAAGGTGTCAGTTATTTGTTTTTTTTGGAGTAAAGTTGGTGATTTGATCCTACAGTAAACTGTACATTTAATTGAACACAATCATCCGGCCATATGTCCTGATCCAGAATCTTAAATATCGCTCTTGAAGTGCTGCAAGGCAGCCTTAACTATGAATATGAATAATGCACAAAACGTAAATAACGCAAATTGAACTGTAATATCAAGAAAGGTACTTAAATTACGGCATTCTACCAAGAATATTTATTACGCTGTTGTGTTCTTTATTACATCTATTACTTTGAGAGTCTACTTACATATATTTTAAATCTGCAAATTTATTTGTGCTTTCTGGAAATTATTTTTGGGGAGAACTGTGTGACCTATTCATGCAACGGATATAATAGTCAGTAATTGTTTTCCTGGGAAAGTACGGTCAGTTCAAAATATTGTCGTAGTACGAGAAATTAATCTTAAATCCCATGTGTTTATTCTTTGTGATTGCATGTCTTTAGTCGAGAGATATCCCTCCATCTGAAGCTTTACATCATTTCACAGCTTGATTGTTCACGAAATATGCCTTCTTTTTGTTGCTGAATTCCGTGCCTTTGAAGCAGGTACATCCGCGGGCTTCTTGACTGTGCTTGTGGAACTATTGCTTGTCAATTGGAGGCCTCGGATTACATTGATACTGTGGCTAGCCATTCACTACTGTAGAATACTCGAACCCTAGTCTGGTGAAGACTGGTACAACAGAACAGGCTTTAATTGACCAACCACAAGCCAGAACTACGCGTCAGCCGTTCCTTATATGGCGTTCCCCATACGTATCTCTCTTGTAGATTACCCGAGCCCTAATAGGAAAAAGACTGGTACAACAGAACAGGCTTTATTGACCAATCAGAAGCCAGAGCCACGCGTCAG